CCCCCCGAAAACGGGGACCAACGGAGATTTGGGGTGTTGAACCACGTTCACCGAGAGATCGGAACTTCTCAGTTAAAGCCACCAAACGAATAGTAAATGCTTGAGCTTAGCACATAAAAATCATGGCTCTGCTACAATACCCAGTCACAAAACTTTCCCTTGGGATATAATTTCACTCCAAAACCTCCTTTCCCCAATTAAGGAAGTTTTGCAGATTGTAAAAATGTCAAAAACTAGTCAAAATTGGTCTCGATTCAAGTCTCTATAAAATTTTAATGACTGTGCTCCTGTTAACTAAATATTTGAAACGGAAAAATAGCAAGTACTACATATGCTCTTTTTAAACAATAAATAAGCATTTTTTTAAACAAATTAAATATAAACTTTACACATCCAAAGTACAATATACAACCTATTTCAAAAAGGACTCATTGATTACAGAACCATAGTAAAACCGTATTATGAACTGCACATAAGCTTTTCCTATACAAACGGTAACGCTGCTCACTGCAGCTTTTTCTTCAAGTTCCACAGTTAATTTATTGATTTTCCTACTTTGAGTAAGACATCTAGCTCCATTGTTTGACTAAATGGTCAGATGACAGAGCCTGGTGGAATCCAATAATAATTGGGTGGTGGTAGCAAATTAGTTGCCTTTTTCAAGACTAAGTGTGAATCTTCCAAGGAAACTGTGTTGAACTTACTTAATCTTTTCAGAAAGGCTGATGTAATAAGGCTGTAGTAAGATTTTAGATTTAAGCCGTACTTTATCCAGCAGAAAACATTTTGTATCATCTGTCATTTCAAAAAGAACAAGTTGTATGGACTGTCTCATTAAGACCACAACAGCAGAAGTTAACAATATATACAAATGAAGTTTTATCAGTTTTCTATAATGCAGAAAACAAAAGAGACTTCCATAAAAAGGATTTCTTTGTTCTCAAACTTCACTTAGAAACTCAGCTTAACATACAGTTGTTCTGTAGCATTAGTAAAGTTCACTAACAAAAGACTTTGCTTGTACGCTGTAAATAAACCAAAGTGTTCAACAGTTTTCTTGCCATTGTTCATGTGGTATTTAGTTGACTTTGCCTTTCGGTTTCAGCTTTCTTCTCTTGCCGGTGGTTAACTGCAGCCCAGAAAGTTATTTTTTTCAGCACTTGCTGCAAAAGTTTCGATGGCAAGCATGGTATTTGATTCTTTAAGAGAGTTGCATTTTTACCAATGCAGTCAAGACACAACCTGAAGAAGGAAAAAAGGAAAAAGAGAAGAAATAAAGAAAAGAAAGATTTAAGTAAATGGTCTATAACCTAAAGACAAAACCTGACATCTAATAAAAGCTTGTGATGTTCATTACACGCTGTGCTTGCACGTGCAGGAGAGAGTATTAGACATCACCAGCGTTGAAACTGTTACGGGCTGCCGCATTGCATGTTTCAAATATTTACTGAGGAGGCAATTTTCTCTTTTACCCGCCTCTGTAGGAGAACATGGCTAAAACCCCACGTGTAAAAGCCCAGTGCCACAGCGACTTACGCCTGACTCTTTGTGCCAATAACCTCAACTCACCTGAGGAGCGAATAAGGTTGAGTCTGAAATATCAGCAAGTCACTGCAGTGACCCTGATCAAGAGAAAAAAAGAACCATTAAAATGACAAACAGCTTATCTCAGAAATGCTGCTATTTTCTAGATTAACATAACATTTATTACCACAAGCATAATTTAAAACTGAGAATATTTAAATAATTATTTATAAAGAATCTGAATAACAAATTCCTTTTTATGAGCCTAACAAGGGCAGGAAAAACCCCTCATAAATTACTTTCCAAGAACACCTAAGGTCACATCTCACATCACCATATGATATGAATGAACCCAACAGTATCAGCAACGGTATCAACTGTATTTCAATTTTAATTACTGTAATGCTAGGATGTCATTATTCAGTTTACTGACTGTGTCCATGAAATGCAAGTCATCTTTGCTTCCACCAAACACCATCACTTCTCCTTCTTTTCCAAGGCAGGCTGTATGCCACAATCTAGAAATAAAATTATAAATAGCATTACCGACCACGTAACAACAAGCAGTTGTGTGTTACCAGCAAAACAAACCTAAACTCGACACGTTTTTAAGGGTTTCAGAGAAGATGTACGTTTAACTTGCATATTCACCTCTTCACCTCACAGGCCCTCCTCCATTCTTCAAGTTTCTTTTCAAAGGACATAATCTCCTTTTAACTAAAACGGAAAGGTCACTTTTCTAATCCTGTGATTCCACTACTTATGCACAGGACCTTGAAGTCTTATTGGCCTCACTACTTACCCAGAAGAATTTTACAATTTTAAATACTGTATTTGAGTTGCAGAAACAGTAAAGCCTGTTCTTTATCAGCTCGGGTCTCAAGGCAGACCTTCCGTTCTTAGGGAAGAATGGAGAATAAGAACTGAGCGCTCACTGGAGTGAAGCGATTACGAGAATCTCTCTTTTCTGCTTGGCCATTTATTTGCACATAGCACGTAGGGATTTACTATCTCTGAGCTTCCGAATTTTTTCTCAAAAATTACTGAAATGGGTCAATTGATTCATTAATGTACATGGGAAGGGGAGGCAGCCATGCATGCACAGAGCACAATAATGTAACCCATACTTCTCAGAAAACCAAGACAAAGACATTATTTTAAAAGTCTTCAGTGTTAAAAAAATAGTATCTTAAAATATATTACTCATTTCTTTAACAATATAAAAGGAGAGAGCAATGTGACTATCCATCTCATGAGAATCTTGCTGAATGATTACATTTCATACAGACTGATATATTTTTCTCATTGTTTGACTTTTCTGTACTCTAGTTATATATACTTTGTCTTATTTATCACTACTTCAACAAAACATTACAGTGGAAAATTTTTAGAAAATAAAATAACTATACAAAACAAGGTTTTGCTAAGAACAGCTTTTCTTTTTCTTTCTTTTTAATTTTTCCACTGTTTCTTTAATTCAGAACTACAATTCTAAGGGCTTTAAGGTTGTGGGGTTTTCAGTACTGACTCTTATCCCTGAACACTAGGATGAGAGCTTCAGAACACAAGTTATCCTGTTTCAGTTTTAAGCTTCCCCCAAAGATTCCTGGGGATCGCTTTCTGTGTGTCAGCTACTTACATCACGCCCACAAGCAAGTTTTGTGTTGTGCACATAAAAGCATATGGTATTAAAAAAACCCCAAGCCAAACCAAAACCTGACGTGTAACATCTTGCTTTAACAAAAATTCTGCTACTTCAGCAGCTACACCTTGCCAGATTTACTTTTTAATATTAGCAGATCAAAATCTCTAATTTTTCTACTGGTGTATCACCACTGAAGTCAGTATCACAAGATGATTATCACCACAGAGCTCTGGCCCTTTAAGTCTACTGAACCAAAAAAATACACACCACTACAACTTTCATGCAAAAGGAAACGTTCTCACTTTCTTACTCCATTCACATCAGTAATTATTCACCCTTCTCCTTAGGCTAAACTGTATCCCACCTTTTCTCTTACTCATACCTGGAGTTAGATCTGTCTCTGCCTTATCTGCATTAGGAAAACTCTGGCTTGGACTTCATCACCGAGGAATACTGGGAAGCCTTTCCTGCCTCGACTCTGTTGACATCCTAGCTCGCAACCTGATGCTTTCTCTACAGACTGACAGAGTTTATGTCCTCTCACAGCTGCTCTAACTTATCACCTAAACATTCTAATAAAGCATGTTATTTAAATCATACACAGGCTGAATCGAAGTAACCTTTTTACACAGCTCTTCTAACTAGAATAACAGAATTACATAGTAGTGAAAACACTGGGAATCTGTAAGTTAAACACACAATTTGTTCTCTATTTTAACCTGGCATGCAAAATGTTAGCTGAAGTACAACTGATGGACAGAAAGAAGAAAAATATTTTCTACGAATACAGAACCACAGATCTGTAACCTGGAAGACAATTTTTTAGAAATTACTAAAAATGAAGGTTAAAGGAAATTATTCTTTACAAAATTTAAGGAGGGAATCAATTCTGTAGAACCATCAGGATAATACACTAATGCATGTGTGATATACCATGTATTATTATAAAATAATACAAATATATAAAAGAAGTTACACATATACATATTATTGCCAGTGTATTTTAAGTCCTGCTGTAAAGTCATATGAGCAATAGAATGGACATAAACAATTTCAGGTGCAGAGATCCTGCAGTAATCCTGTGTAAGAACGGGGATACAATCACGGTACAAGTACGTACTTCACACTCAAACTAGTTCAATATATAGACAGGCTCTTGGTATGGCTCCTTTTATCCATGTTGCTAAGACTTTCTGAAAAAGGTTACTGAAGGTTTGCTGTGTTTTTTTAAAGGGGAGAGATCATTTAGTTCAATAAAGAATTAGGTCAGTGAAAGAAAACTGTCCTCAGCCTACAAACTGTATACCAAAATCTTCACATGGTGGAGAGAACCATGGGACATGTTTGGACTTGTGGGAACTCCAAGACTTTTGTCAGCATGTGACCCAAAAGCTCTCAGGAGGGTTGGGGCTGCCTGTGCAGTACAGTCCCCAGCAAATTTAGCAGTGTCAACCTCAGGAACCCTCTCTGACACTTCCGCTGCAGCAAGGAAGGTGGCTTGCTCAACAGCCTCCCTGCCAGCACAGCCAAGTGACAGCTCCACTTTGTAGCCCAGTATGGGATCTGCCTTTGAATTGCCTGAAAGCCTCTTGGGGCTCCAGAGTCACAGGTTCCAAACATCCAGCCTGACCACACAAATGTTACTCCAGCTTAAATGCAGAGTAAAGGCTGAGCTGCAGCTCCCTGGGCTGCTGCCTGTAGAAAAAGCACATTCTGTCCTTTCCTGATCCTTTCTCATGACGCACCAGTAAAAATAATTACACAAGGCGAGGCAGTCCACCTCAGCAGTTTACTTGTACGAGACCATCCATGGAAAGAACTGAACACAACGACAGACATGATCCCTGACTGCTAATGATGTGCTTTGCTATTTAAGACAGTCATTGGTCCCTTCATGTGTCAGTTCACTAATCATAAAAAGACAGAAAATACTCTATGCAGCTAAGGTGTAAGTTTATTTGGGCTTGAAAGAGTTAGAAATATAAGGAAGCAGAAAACTTGGTCTAACAGTGCTTTTATATTTAAAAGATGCCCTAGAATAGCATAAAACATGAAGAAAATTAATTCAGGTAAAGACATTTCAGTAATAGGAAACAGAATGTAAGACAGGAAGCATGCAAATGCCAGACCAGAATCGTACACTATGCTATAAGAATGATAGAAAATTGTGCTGAGAGTACCTGGGTGAATGTATAGAATGAATTCCATGAAAAACTGAGTATTTGCTATCTACCACAAATCAATTCAATAGTATTTACATTATAAATACAGAGAATGCTTCAAACACTGTTAAAAATAAAAGTCTCTGCTGTGATACAGCAAGCATCTGTTTGCATGGCAGCTTCTGATTCAGAACATGAAACTTGCTTTCTTTAGTGAGAAAGAATCTATCTTCTTCTGTATTCTTAAACTAGAGAGGGAAGGGGAACAGAATCTGGAGGAGACAGTGTTGTTGCCAGTATGAACAACACACATTCTAGAACTAGGTCCTTTTTGGTTGGCAGTTAAGTCCTTGAAATAACAAAACTCCACCATCCTTTACTGTGCTATTTAGTACTAAATTTGGTTTTGCAAAACTGTAATCATAATTAGCTGCTTCTGCTCAGGGAAAAAAACCCCAAAGAAATAAGGTATTTTATAATACTTTTGAACCCTGAGAGGTACATCAATATTTTCATGGTTGTCTCCCCCATGTTTCTAATAATGTATCATCATTAATCAACTTTTATTATTTTCAGAGGTTATTAATTCCTCAAAAGTTATATGATATACATTCTCTTATATAAAAATAATCTGGCTATAGAACACCAGGTTAGTTGGACACCCATATCCTTCATCACAAAAAATCTTTTAATGCAGGTAAGCATCAACTACAAGAAATATAGGAATAATACTGTATCAGGTATGAAGGAACTTAAGTTAGTAAAGCAAACTATTCAATCATACTGCATTAATTTTCTAAAATATTCTTATAACGTAGTTTAAAAATACTGATCAATAATTTAAAATTACTTATTTTTTTTAAATGCCTAGATTTCAGCAAACATTATCTAGTTTTGTATACCTAGGCCTACTCTTAGGCAAATGGGTAAGTTGTTTCCATCCATTCGTGGTAATGCTGTGAATCCAGCCATCACCTACAATATAAGAACATACATCAGTACTTTTTCTTGGGACAAAGTATTACCTTTTTATTTATACAAAGTAGTACCTTTTTCATTTATACAAAAAGCTCTGTGTTCTAAAAGCACATTATATTAAGATAACAGTAACATCATACCTACATTAACCCGCATCTCTTCGGTCTTTGTAATTTAACTTAACCAATTCAGCCACAGAAAGCTCACTGCATCAAAATCTGGAATTAAAATACATTTCCTTTTTTCCTTTTGGATGTATTCAGAAAATCACTCCCTCCCAGTGGAATATATCCCAGTGACACTCAAAACTATTTTCACTAATTTCACATTTTTTCATGAAAAGAAGTTGCCTTTTCTAGAAAAGGAACTCAGAAGATGACTATTCTACTTCCTATTTAACATTTTGTAGCTGTGAGTTGTTACTCATCCAAAAGTCTACATTATGTTGACATTATTATTTGTATCTTCTCCCTGCAATTGCTATTGATATCAAAAGTTACCCTTTGTTCATACTGAAATGTGTGCAACTCTTGCCTTTATTCTTTTAGATGATAGACAGTTTGATGAAAGATTTATTATCATACATTCTCATTGTACCACACAACGTGCTCCTGTATTTGTACAAAAATAGTAATATAGCTAAAGAAATGCTCAAGCGGCATGAAAATACTGTAACAAGATTTACGTCTAAGTAGTTTGAGAAAGACAACAAATATGCACACTACACGAGGTTAGTACTAAAGTGCACAATAGAATGATAATTTCTAAATTACTTACTTAAAGGAACATTATCAGAACTTAGTCCACCAAAAAGAAAAAGTCTGTCATCTCCTATCGGAGTCAACGTGTGCCAGGATCGATCTTTCGGTTTCTCTCCAGTGATATTAATTCTTGGTGAAACAAATAAACAGAAACAAATTTTCAAAGAATGCTGAAAATTAACCTGCCAGAAAATTTAATAGTTAATTTAGTTTGTCCTAGAACAAGCTTGGATATTTTCCCAGTGACAAAGCTGCACTTAGGCAATCTGAATTTACTCTCAAGAGCAGCAGCGTTCAAATCTAAGCAAAGTAATTTCTTGCAGTAACTGTTCTCTGAACAATCAGTTACATAAATATCAAATGTAAGGACAACAGCATTGCTTTGTTATTTTGTTTGTTTTCTTAAGATCACTAAAGCCACTAATGTACAACTGAAGGCTCTTAGGACAGCAAAGAAATATATTCAAATAAACTGCTCAGTACATGTAGGTAAACAGACTCAGTTATTTGAGATAAAATTTAATGAATCCTGAGGGGCTATGGTCTGTACTCCTAGGAAAATGATCTTAAATGATACAGGGATTGTGGCTTTACTTTTATCCGAAAGCTACTACCTCTTCAAACATTGTGCCTTTTAACACAATGGTGGGTCACCCAAACTTTGAGGTAAGCTTTTGTAAAAAGTGGAATTCCTATGTACAAACAGATGTAGGTTTATTATTCCAAAAAATCTGCTCATGTTACAAAAATACAGAGTTGATACTGATTTCATTTTAGCTGCAGTTAGGTATGCTTGAGATGAGAATGTGAACAGTGAAGAACCTGAAGATAAGGGATTACCTATAGTGGGTAGCCTGAATTCACATCATCTCACTTTAGGCACTTAGGTGTACAGTTGTCTCAGGAGGATCCCAACAGAGTCAGCAGAGAAAAGTAAGGACCTCCAGAGGGCATCAGCCCACCTACTAGCTTGATACTAAGCAGAGAGGCAACTCCTGTTGTGAAGTACCTAAAGTAGACACAAAGAATCTTGGCCACTGCATACTCGGTATGTCCTCATTTTGGAAAGATGATTGAAAAAGCAGGTGTAAACACCTGTGAGCTCTCTTGCGGGGTCAAAATCTTAGTCGGAGACTGTCCAGAGCGAGTAAGAAGGGAATGTTCAATCCAGGTAGACTGTATCTCAAAGAACCAGTTACTTTTTTTTTTTTTCCCTCCACCTTGCTAAAGTAAGGTGAGCGTAAGATACATAGATGTGTGCCCAATCTACAGTATGAACACTGCAGAGAGAGTCACCTATATTTCCTGTATAATCAATCAAGAGAAACAGGTCCTTGAAAAGCACAACTCGTGATTAGTTCAGATGTCTGCCTTAGCAGCAGCTGTCTCATGCCCAAGAAGTGCCCGTTTCTCTTAACTGCGCACAGAGGAAGCCTAGGGTGAGTAATACAGGCATCCGCAGTTCGGTTAGAGGACTTTCACTACTGGTGACTGCTAAGCAGTTCTCCATCTGGAAGCAAAGCCTGAAGAATCATAGCTAATTAAACAGTGATTGCAAAACTGTCCTACTAAATTTGGCACTGAAGTTGGAGCCAAGTCACAATGTTTAAGTGCCTGCTTTGCACAACTCTTGTATAAGACGCTTCTAAAATTGGCAAAGGGGCAGACTGTGCTGAGATACAACCGGGGCCGATGTTTAGAAAAATATATACCAGATACTGATGGGTGATAATGTTTCAATCTTTCATGCTACTGATACAAAAAAATTATCAAAGTAACAGAAATAACATAATATTGAACATTTTGAATAACAGGTCAGTGGAGCTCCGGGAAGGAAAGGTAACTTCTGGGTAGTGGCAACTAAAATAAATATTGCAATCTCATGCTGGAAGATACTGCTGGATTAGTAGGTTAATATGCAATTCCTTAAGAAACTTGCATAGAGTTGAATAAGAAAAAAACTTGACATAACTCGTTAATGAAAAGCTATGGGGCTTTAAATAAAACCATCATTGCCTTTGGAATTTTTCATTTAGGAGAGGATGTCCAATAAGTGAATTTGAATGTAGGACTGTACAAAGCAAGTCCTTGCTGGGAGATCTGTACTTTACAGAAGAACTTCAAATAACCTCCAGTCTTGGTCAGCAGCACTCAGACAGCCAAACTTTTTAATCTGTATTAAATCTTCAAGTCTTATTTAGTGATAATTCACATGGGCAAAGGCAATCTCTCTGCAGCTGCGGAATTGCCAAGATAATTCTGTTACCAAGATCAAAAAGGTTGTATTCTGCCCAATTTTTAATTCATCATCAGATCAGAACTTTCAGAAGAAAGGAATTTGAAGGTATAGCATAAGAAAGGAAAGGTTCCTTGCAAGAAACACCTAGATGAGAAAATACTCTACCAGCAAACAAGTCTGAAGGAATTTCCCCTTAAAATACTTGAATGACATTAGGGCTTTTTAGAGGCAGTTTTCAGCTGGAAATGGATCGTCTGATTACACCTATTCAAAATTATTGCTGGTAATCAAAGGATCTAGAGTGATTTTCTTTACTTCACACTTCAATATGTAACTTTATTGGTCTCAGCAAGCACTGCTCTGCTATATAAATTTCAGACCAAAAAAAAAGGGGAGGAGGGGGAGGAGAGGGAGGAAAAAAACCCAGCCTGTTCATCTACTCTGTCTTATTTTACAATCTGTGTGCAATCATGGAACTTTTGGGACCAAGTTATTTATATTGGAGATGATCCCTACAAACGCCCAATTTCTAATACAGCCATGACTACTGATTTTGTGGAAGGAAGTGTGCAGCCAGAAATAATTTTCCAAACAGTTTGTGCAAAGACAGACTGTAAACTGGAGTCAAAATATAAATACTAATTTGATATTGTTCTGAAACATGCATTGATTTTTGCTCCTCTTCTAATTAGGAGATGAAATCACACTAAGAGGTATTCTATGTTTGTGCATGCTGACAGGTGGCCTGGTAATACGAGATGATTTTACTGCAGTAGATAATTAATAGCCACAAATAAATTATTTGGACAAAACAATCCAGCCCTAGGAAAAAACTCCTCTTTTTTTTTTTTCCCCTGATTTGCAGCTGATAATGGCTAATCTAAATTCCGCCATCAATGACAATCTGAATTCTATTTTTCAGGTTTCCATAAGAGCAGTCACTTTAGTAAGGGAGGAACAGTGCTCAGGCCAGTGAAGCTTCCCATAATACCAGCCTTTGATTAGTTACCCCTCTAGATATGAATAAATATGAACACTTTACCTCCTGTGAGGTGCCACCACAGTGGCAGACACTCTGCGAAGACTCTTTTTTAAAAAAAATCTCTTAAGTCTCATTTTTTAGTCTCTCAAATCTCTTTTTTCAGTCTCTCAAAGACTCTTTGCAGAGGTGCTATAGAATGGCTGGATGGTAGGCTCCTAAATTTCTAATGATCTGAATCTACATTAAATCATAGGCAAGTCTGGTGAGCTATTCTTGGATCACAATATAGAAATAATTGAACAATATAGAAATAATTGGAACAATCTTCAGGTTTTAGGAACGGCTGCATTTAGTATTACCATCCTTAGTCTAAGGATGTATGTAAAATCAGCCTGTTGTATTCAGGTCAAGAACACAAAACACTGTTTAAAGCCTTCAATATTAGCTTTCATATCCCAACCAAAAGGGAACACTGGCTGACGAGGACTTAAGACAGAACTTTGACATTGACACCCCTCCTTCAGGGCTTGAAGTTCCTCTCATTGACTTGTCACTCAACTGTCACAGATTTCCTTTTTTAAAGCAATAAAAAGCAAGCCCAACAGCAACTGCTCATGCAACAATAAAAAGTAAGCAGCTAAAGCAATAATCTGAATAATCAATCCACTCACAGGTAAAGTTCACAGTCTAAGAGGGACAATGCTATCATTTAGGTAGAACATTGTTAATTTAAAATTAACCAGCAAAGAAAAAGGGGAATTAAACTAATGAGTTAATCATAAGTGCTAATTAAAGAAATCTTCAAAGAGAAGGTTTTTTCGAAAGGACACTGTGAGACTTCTTTGTCCTGCTGCCATCAGCAGCAAGAAAGAATGGATGGAGGACTGTGTCTACTCCCTGGCTTTGCTCTCAGCTCAGAGGAACACACGGTGCAGGATCAGAGCAGCATCACAGGTGATTAAAGATGCCCATCATAGGTGCATGAAACACAAAGACCTGGAGAAGGATCAGGACTGACATATGCTCAGGAAAGGTGTATTTCATGGTCTTTTAGGAAATTATTATTAGCTTATCTTGGTAGTAGGACCAGAACAGTGGTTATCACCCATCAGTTACTGTTTATCTCCTATCAGCTAACAATACATCCACTGATTCTACACGTGTAGTAGGCACTATCATAAATGCTACATGCAAACAAACAAATCTTAGGAAGTATACTAATACCTGATTTAGTTTTAAATGGAAGTATTTAAGTCATGCTTTTTACTTGATTTTTTAAAAATTTAAGATGCTTATCTTGGAGGGGAGGAGATCCTTCCTCATTCTGTACTATAACAAGCAAAACATAGATAGTAAAAACAGTATTCAAAATGACATCAAAATGAAAATTCCATACGGATAAATGTACTTGCCTTGAAAATGAGGATGTTAAATCACTACATGCTGTGCTTAAAATAGCATCATCAATGCTTTAGTGCAGAACAGAAAAAGCTTAGTAACCACTATCGAATCAAATTAAATTAAACTGAAATCACAATAGAACAGCTGTTAAAATAGTCCCCAAACTCCCATTCTCCTCTTGGAAAAGCGACAAAATTAGCACTGGAACTATTTAACAATATGTTTCAATCTGCTACATTCAACTTTAAGTGTTATAGAGAGAAACCTACCTTCCAGACCAAGTCCAAGTGTCTAAATTCAGGCAGTGCAAATCATTCATTCTAGTTTGCTAAAACAAATAAATAAAATCCCAGTTGCGTTACATTAAGCAAACAATGTGCAAAGTATTTCAGCGAGGCCTTCCCAGGATAGAATATTCCAAGTAACAATATTTTGAAGAAAACTGTACCCATGTGTCTTAAAACAACTCTCTATTATGTGGCAGATGAAAAGCATTTCTTCTCAAAAAGCCCAGGCAACTCTCAGAAAACTACCTGTCAGGAATATTTACAGTAATGCAATGGCAGTATGGGGCCAATTTTAGCCTTTAATAGTAATTTAATAGTGAAGAACTATGTGATATTCGGTTCCTGCAGATATATTCAATTTTCATCCATAGAATTCATGGCAGGTAATTGCAGAAAGTATAATACTCTACATATAGTTTCTTCTCATTATTTTTCTTTGCATTCTGATCAGAACTATGGATCCTCCTGCCTGGTCACTTATTCCTCGAAATATTCTAGTAGGTGCTGTACTCAGTACATGACATCCCACAAAAAGTTCATCACACCTGTGTTTTTCTCTCTCTTCCAGAAGACAAGCCCTTTCACAAAGTTACTACTAGCAACAACAAGGTTTTATAACCCTTTAGCATTTGCCATAAAAATAATAAAATGTGTCAATAAGAACAATGGGAAATCAATACGCTTGCATATGTCTCTGTTTTGAGATGAAGTAACTGCCTTAGAAACATAAAGGGGGGGAATGTAAGAAAGAATTTCTTTGCTTTAGACTGTAGCAATATTTTCAATGGCTCACAATACACTTGACTGATACTTGTGATTCCCCTAGGTACTACAAAACAATATCTGAGAAGTAGGGAAATATATCTTGCCTTACCTTACAATTTCTTTTCTCCTAGGGTAGTCCATAGATCTATTAGAATAAGCCTTTCTCCAGCTTGCAGATCCTTTGAGGCAGAAACTAGACTTGTCATTTAAGTCAGAATAGGAGTAGTTTTACCCCTGAGAACTCAGCCAGTTAGTGAGTTTGAGAGACTTCCAAAGCTGTCCATCAGAGCTACGGAAAGTCTCTCAGGGTATTTCAGGAAACAGTAAGGTTTTCAGGATAGCTATGGCCTCCTCTGATCAAGTATGTGTTAGCCCTTTTCTGTCCTATGGAAGAGAATGTTAACTAGCATTTTGGAAATGCCTTCAGAGAGGCCAACAGGCTAAAGAAAAGCAGAATGTGAAGGCTTTTGTGCATTGCCTGAGAAACTTTATCCCTGCAAGAGGGCAAAGGTAACAATAAAGCGTGGTCCAACTGACAGCTAGTGGAACAGATCTGTCTTCCATGACAAGTCTATTCAGTTTCCTGCTCATTCAGGGGGCTTTGAAGGAGATGAGGAACAAATTATACAAGCAAAAAGCAAAATGCAATTACTGAGCATCTTCTGCTGTACCTGTACACAGCTAGACACTTAGGGGTAGGGTAGGGAAAAAGCAACATCCTGGCCTCTAGAACTAAAAATATTTAATCATCTTGGAATAACACAGTTCAATATGAAGGACATCTATTAAAGAAAGGGAAGAAAGAAAGTTGCTGTTATCTTGGGAATTAAGGTTTCAAGAAGATCCTGTTCAAGACCTCCTCGCTGACTTTCCTTTCCTAGGCATTAGGCAGAAGATGGAGTAGTTTTCAGTTTCTCGATCCCTGGGAAATCAATGTATTATAATCTTAAATTCCCATGATTCAACAGATTGACAGATGCATAATTACATCAACCTCATTTTGAATTCAAAACACAGTAGCATTTGGACACTTATGCCTACGATTCAGTCCTTTAACATATCTTTAACAAATGAAAATGCCTTTCTACCCGACCCTCATTTGGGAAACTGTAAAGCACACAGTCAGCTTATAGTATCGTCACTTGCCATTTGCAAAGTTTTCTTGCAGTTTCTCATGGATTTCTCAATGCTACCTACTGTATTTAATAATTTAGCTGACAATCCCAAGATGATTCTTAATTGGCTTAAAAGCATCGAGCCTCTTAAGAGGGTTTGCATTTCCCTTTGAGCTACAAGGACTCCTTAGACATCCTACTTATCTATGGCATGCTCATTTATGTGCAGCCCAGTAAACATTAACCAGGATTTGCTTTGTCTCAGGATTAGCTTTCTAGCATGATGAACGGCATTAAGGTGACATATTTACAGCTCACTGCTGTTACAGTAAACTGCGCAGCTCTCCATTCTGAGATTTACAATCAAACAGCTATTACAGCTCAAATCTTTGTAAGAGGACTGCAGTTCAATGTATCTTCTGATCTTCAGTGACAGAAAGTATAACAGGAAACATAAACATGCATGCATTAAGGCATCAGATGGGTGAAGAGCTGCTGGAAAGACTTTATTACTTTGTCACTCTTTACATGAAAACTTTCCACTTAAATCAAATATGAGACTTGCATCAACTTTTGCACTAACTCTCCTTCCTTCCCACTTTCTCCCATTTCTGTTTTTTCAGGGGCTTACCTGGAGGAACAGAGTCCACATAATACTTCTGAGCCTGTTTTCAAATGATTCCTGGTACAATTGATTTTGATCATCATCATCATCATCTTCTTTTACCAGTTCTAGCTCCAAGTTTGGAAAAAGGTGCCCTTTCCTCCCAGAAAGATGAATAGGAGAAGCCTCATGACACTTCCTGGCCCTTTCTGGTTCCTTGTAGAGCCTTTTCCCTGGGAAGATTTGTATTATGGTGAACTAGGAAAAGGAGGAGCAGAGCAACCCCGTATTTGCTCCTTAATTTATGGAGAAATGCAAGACTTCATCCTGGGGTGAGGAGTTACTCCTGTTGTCAGGAAATGTAGTGTTTTTCTGATGTCTTTGGCTTTCCTTTCCTGTGTCATGACTTACATTAATTCCTCAAGTCCCACTGAATATTCCCTAACCTTTCAAAGTTTCCTTCCATTTATTTCTAGGATAGAAAGTGAACCAATAATAGAGTATCACTAAGGTGAAAATTAACACTTGCTGCTCTCCTACAAAATTAAATATAGCTTTCCAAAATTTCGCTCTTCTCTGACATTGTTCCCAAGTGGTTTCACTGAAATTTAGCAAATCATTATTAAGGAAGCTGATGCTACCTGAGGAAGAGAAAAACCTTTTCAGATCAGAGCCTTCTTGTATTTCTGAATCCTGTAGTCAAATAGCCAGAGTTAAATAGAAGCCAGAGGGCATGTCCTCTTAGGGCATATCTAATCATGCAACAGCACAATGGAGAAATGATAGGTGAGCTCCAGTTTACCAACAATTTCACTTTCGGAGGCTGCATGAGAATCCTAGCTTGAATTACAAAGCAGTTCAGTTGCAAAAGGCACAGCGTGGCAACCCTAACTAGCTTGGAGACGAAACTCAGTGCTGTTCTGTTGCTGTTGTGAAGACCTCTGTGCCACACAGAGATGGCCCTTCTAACAAAAAGCCAGAGGGAGTAAGGCTTTGAAGGCTGAGGAAGTGTTCAGCAATAAAGGGCTGAGCTGCATGTTTACTTTTTCACACCTAGGTTTCTTCCCCTCTCATGTCTGTGGACTTGCTAAACGAGGAGCAGGATTAAGTGGTAAGCAAGAGTTCATTTATACAGCAGACAACAGAGTAAGTCCATAGCAGAGGCACAGGGCTCACTTAGCCTGGTATGGCTAACCCTGACACACAAGATTTAAGTAAGACCCGATACTTTTTCAGTCTCTTCTAAATATCCCTTTATTTCCTTAGTTGTTTGCAAATCAAGGTTGTCCAAACCTACAGCTCTGGAAGCTACTGTGTGCAGTTCTCTCTCAGTCAAGAGGTGGGGCTTTAGCAACAATTCATGTCTGCGGACTTGCTAAACAAGGAGCGGGATTAAGTGGTAAGCAAGAGTTCGTTTATACAGCAGACAACAAAGAGTAAGTCCATAGCAGAGGCACAGGGCTCACTTAGCCTGGTATGGCTAACCCTGACACACAAGATTTAAGACCCGATACTTTTTCAGTCTCTTCTAAATATCCCTTTATTTCCTTAGTTGTTTGCAAATCAAGGTTGTCCAAACCTACAGCTCTGGAAGCTACTGTGTGCAGTTCTCTCTCAGTCAAGAGGTGGGGCTTTAGCAACAATTCCAGAGATCGTGAGCCTGTATGAAAGGCCACATAACACAGAATAGTAAGAATCAACAGGATCAGTTGTGGTTACTTTCTTTTCTGATTGCTCTGAAAAGGTACTTAGGGAAAAACATTTCCTGCAGCTGTGGGAGGTGATTCAAACTGAAAAACTGGCTGGACATCGTGTGGCCATTCTGAACCTGCCTCGATCTGTATGTCTGGTTTCTGTCTGAGCAAGCAGGAGTAAGCCATTTTGTAACAGAACTGTAGACTTCCCCTGAGAAGAACACTGCATTAGAGTACAGCTTTTACAGCATGAAAAACAGGGGATAGGGAACAAAGTGCAATTTTACACTGTTTTATTTGCAAGTACTTGAGAATACAGGGTTTAGGTTATGGCAGCTTTCCAAGATGAAGTTGGCACATGTTCATTGTAAGGCATTTCCAACCAACAGTTAATTGCTTCTCTTTCATATAACTATAGAAGCACAGCACTGAGGGCTTTCAAAAGCTTCTTCACTGTTACTTTTCATAGTAGTAGAGATAGAAAGCATCAAGTCTCATCCTCTAGTTGAATATGATTAAAGGTTCTAAATTAGCTACAGGTAAAAACAGCTAAAAACTTAAATTTAAAAAAATATGGAAGAGTACACAGTAACTTAAAGTAGTGGGGTTTTTTTACTTGCCTTACAGAATCTGTTTCTCACATTCCTGATAAACTCCAGCTCCTACAGAGACCTTTAAAAATATTATCTTCCCTACGCTTCTGCAACAGCTCTAAAAAGAGCTGGTACGCTTTCCAGCCCATAAAGAAACTACCCTTGCAAAAAATTTACGAACGATAGGGCAGCTTGCAAGAGTTAAGACTATTATCATCCTTATTTTCAGACAGAAGACAGGAATATGTTTTTTGTATTGGGTTGCTCCTTCAGGCTTAAATTCTTACATTAATGCTTCAGCAGAGAACTAAAGAGAAAGACTCCTTTGACTAGTTCTAGAAAAATTAAGCATGTTGCTGAGAGGTTTTAGTATTTTCTTGCTTGCCAGTGGTGGCTTCAAGTTTGTTTGGTACATACAACCAGGGGGGTGATGCCTATGGCTTTTTTTTTTTTTTTTAAGTTAGAAAGAACTAGGAAGTGTTAAGATTACATAGCAAGAATCTAGCCTTGATTTAAATATGCACTGATTGCATCTATACGGACAGCTCTTACGCTGCCTTTCAGTATTACCTAAGGGACAACAGATTTAGATCCTCCCACAGTGTATTAAATGGTACAGTCTTGGATCAGCTATCAAGAAAGCAAATACAAGCCTTACTCTTGCAGTAAAGAGCTTATGCACAGAATAAAGATGTTGACGGCAATCTCTACGGTGTGCTTCAGGTATTCTGTATCAAGGGCACAGAGCATACCAAAGGTAAAGACCGAGACTGCAAAACTGATACTCGGAGAGCAGAGGAGAGGCTTAAAAGGACTGGCATTACCAGCGCCTGCAGTGGCCTGTGCTATCTGGTAACATGCTGCAGCATCCTGGACAAGCTTGAACGTACAGAGACTAATAGCTTTGTATCCAGATATTATAATCACATGCTGCTCTTCCAGACGCCTGTATTTCAGTTGCTTATGTGCAAGAAATGACAAAACTTTAAATTATAAAGCCAACTGAAATATGTTATTTCCTGCCTTTCAGAACCACATCTTGCAATTATAAATATAAAATACTGTATCCCAACAGCTATTCTGAACTTCACTTTCCTAGAAGGTAAAGGTCAGGGTACGAGAGATGGGTTTGTCCACTGTTCTTACACATTTCCTCTTTTTTTTAGCGGGGGGTTGAGGGGAAGGCCAAGCTAAAATCCTGGTTAGATTTACTACTTCCTAGAATTTCATTAAGTGAAATGGAGAAAAAAGCCAGCAGGTTTGATGTATATATCTGCTAACCTGTGGCAAGCACAGAATGCTAGCATCTCATCATTTATGTATACCCGGTCTATCAGCAGGCTTACTTTTGCTCCACTCTCAAAGAACCAGCTCCTACAGAGGTTATGCACACATCAACCAGTTTTGTTGATTTATAAACATTTGCATTTACCACACAGTCATCTGGTTTTTTTCCCTTTTTGGGACAATATATGCTTCATCATTAATACCAGAGGCAGAAAGACAGACTCTTCTTTTTGTAAGCTAAAGGGGGATGAAAAGAAGCATCCTGGATTCAACGCCCCTAACATACAGGTTAGGCCAAAGACATTTTGGATTCTTTTCTGCTATAAAAATTATTTGCTATAAAAAAGATATCTGCCAAGAAAATAACATTACTGCCAATAAAATGTTTTAATTCAAGACTAACCAGCACTCGTCCTCCAAAGATGTAACCTTTATTTCCCAGCACAGCACATGTATGAGCTGCTCGAGGCTGAGGTGGATCTCCACCCTGAAAGAACCAAAATAAGATCCTTCAGAACATCATCGAAGTGCCAGGCAAGGATAATGGCAAGTCAGTATCACAGAGATTGCAGAAGTGAGGCCAATACACATCAATATGCTGACAGAACTGCAACTTTAAAAGGAAATAATTTGTACTCATGTCAAGACTCCACAGACATTAGAAGATACACATATTTGCCAAGGACAGCTGTAATTGAGTTCCCTCAGTAGTGTTTAATATATTCCCTCTTGATCTGATTTATCATTGCTTTACTGAAATGAAATTCAATTAATTATCTTTAATTCCTAAGCATAAAATTACAGTAACACATCAGTTGTTATTGGTATGTCCTGTGCAGCTTTATTTTTCCAAAGTGTGAATCACCAGGAACTGGTAGAAAATTTTCTGGAAATTTTATCTGAAAATTTGATGTTACATCTAATAGCCACATGCCAAAAAGTATTCCCTGTGTAAATCGGAAATAAAGATAGCAAAATTGGCTTTTACTTTTCAATGGCATTTTCATTTTTTGCATTTAGTTTTATAGGAATTTTAGAACATCCTATAAAGCCCATAAACCAGTGTCAGACACTCATTACAATATACTACTTCTACTGAGTTCTTATGTAAAGGATTTTATGAATCTTTCTAGTATACTATCATATTAATATCAATAAATAGAAATGTGTACATTACTATTTTACTGGGAAAGTAAGTATAGATGCGCGCTTGGAAGACTATTAAAATAACATATTTCATGAAGAGTATAAGATCTGTTTATTCTAACAGTATAGCACGACTGGGAGATATTTGTTAAAAAGATTTTTTTCAACATTAACTCTTGAAGGGAATACAGCAACTCCATGTACACAACACTCAACGAGCGTATGACCCTCGCATACTAAACATGTATCTTTACTTCACAAAGAAAAACTGAAGGCCTAAACTAGCAATACGGCGAGTTTACCATCTCTGCCCTTGCCTTCTTTAAGTCTGTGAAAGCTGAACGGTGAACCAAGAGAGGTGTCAAGGCCAGTATTGTTCTTCCAGCCTGATATACTATCCTTCACACTGACCTATCAGCTTTATGAAAAGGGACGGAGGTGGAAGGAGGAAATCCCCAGGCAGACCTTAATCTCTCATGTGGTCAACTCTCAGTTACCCATGCTAGGTTACCTATGTTGCAGATTAATTATACACAGATATAAGCAAGGCCTACGAGGATACCCGAAGTTGGTGTAATTGCCATAATCCATTTCTGTAGGACCCAAGCTTGCTTTGGGAGGAGCCACTGAAATGCCTCTGCACCCCATTCCTGCGCCCTACTCTGGTATTCCTACTAAATGGTTTTCTGGAGTATTCCAGTGCCTTGTCTTTCCAGTAACGGAGTGCTGGCAGTAATTTTGTATTCCCAAAGCTGTCTTAAGGCTTGAATACAAACCTTTATCTCAAAACTATCCCCTAGATACAGAATACTGTATCATCTTCTAATGTATCCAGATTTCTAATGCCTCTCTGAGGCTTATGATATTTTTTGCATCAGAATCACGTTATGGAAAAAACACCAGTCTAATAACATCCTGTGGGAAAATAAACTCATATCGGTTCTGAATTTTCCACATTTCAGATGCAATGAATGTCCTCCTGTTTAACATTATAAGCCTGAGCAATACCAAGCATATTGAAATTACTTTCCCAACATCAATTTCTAGACCACAATAAGTATTCAAAATGCAGTAAAATCACAAGTGTGTCAAAAGACAAGATTCAAAAACACTCACTCTAATTGCTGGTTGAGACCAAGTTTGTGTGGTTGTATCAAAAACATGAACATCATTATGCCATCCCCAGAATATCTGTCCTTCCTAAAAAACAAGTTCAATAATTAAAAATAAGTTTATTCTATTTTAAAGTCTTTGTGTTTATTAAAGGATACAAACCCAGAAGTGAACTATCAAAACAGAAAATAAACTGAAATACAGAATTTTATTAAAAGAAACATATGCTAATATTTTTAATAATGATGCAGCAGCTCAGGTCTAGTTGAAGGTCGACAGCATTCAGGAACGTTAGGGCTGATGACACATTTGAAAATGGGCTTTTGGCTCCAACACAAGTCACTGCAGTAGACAAATTCTACCTTCTGACTTTTAGTGTAACATACTGAGAACTAAATAGATTGTATAACGTAATACATTTTTCTAAGTCAATATTTAACATTTGCTATAAGGATCTATACTCCCTTGAATGCCTATCTATTTCTAATTAATTCCTGTCACTAGATAATCAGTCTCCTCCCTTCTATTAACTGTAAGAAATCATTATAGGAAACTAGCTAATCCAGGCATCTTAAAGTGATGGCATTTACTCTGGATAACAAATTTAAGAAATTAACTGAAAGTATTTGTCAGTCAGATTTCTGAAGCTATAAATTCCCTACTAGTACTTCAAGGAAATAAATTCTGAAATTTTCTGGGAGTTTCATATTTAAAATATGTCTTCAGATTTAAAATACTTCCTTTGTTCCTGCTTCAACAGCATTTTGTTCCATTGCACTCAAAGCCTAGCACTGGCTACTCAGAATACGCTGAACACCCACTGCTCCCAACATGCAATATCTGAAATTTCAAATCTAAGTAGAAGATTCTAATTTGCCTTGCTGCTGATGCTGTAAATAAAAGAAAAATCAGACAGATTTTCATACTTACTGAGTATAGTATAGTACAGTATAGTATAAAAGATCACATTTTGACAATCAGAAAGGACGAATCACTCTGAACTGTTACAAATCCCTTACCCAAAATGCATCATGGACATCAAAACAATCACTCAGTTCATTATGCTTCCTACAGCCATAGCCACCAAAATATATTAGCCTAAAAAAAACAACAACAAAAAATAAGCTCAGGTAGCTGTTTTGTAAATAACATTCAAATGAATAAGCTGTAATGATTAATTTCAAATTTTGGTTTACCTATTGCACTATTAATAATATAAACAACTTAAAATATTTCATATTGCACCTAATTACACAGCAAACCTTACTGAGATGAAAGTAATAGTTACACTCCTCAACAGGCCTGACAGAAATCCACATAAGCAAGGAAGGAGGTTCAAGATACCTCAAAGTCCCTGTTCTCTATTCCTCCATCCACAAGCTTATCACAGCCACATTTTCAGACACGGGTCTCAAAACGACATGTAACGCACAAGACCGTGAAATGCCTATGTTGCTGCTAGAATTCCTACCCTTTTCTATTGAGATTCCTATGCTCCTGCTG